AAAACTCCACCAACACCTACCCTTGAGCCAATCAACTCCATGAACCTGTTAATCCCTGTTATGTACACAAATTGCGGATTTCCCAGTTCTATAGCTAATTACTTGCAAAGAAGATTCATAGTTTTGGTTGTATATGTTTGAGATCCATTTTATCACCACCTATACGATTATTTTAAGAAAATAAGGTTGGCACACCAGTATACGACATGACAGAGAGTCAGATTTTTTGTTGGCACATGCTAAGAAAATGGGTTCCGTAAGTTCCAACTTCAAAAGAGCCTCAATTGACAGGGTTATTGAGTTGACAAAATGTGATGCACTTAGGCTTATATTCATAATTTTAAGTGATGTCGGAACAAAGCTACACAGTCTGTTATGATCAACGAAGTCCACAGGTGGCCAATATGAGATCTTCCAAATTGTAGTGAAGAACTGTCTGAACTTGTGTATCACAGAGTTGAGACAGTATGGTGGGATAGCATATTACACAAGTCTCATTGCGCAATGAGGGTTAAAACTTCAGATTTTACTGTCTTAGTTCAACTTCATCTATAATAATTACAAATTATACAAAAAACTACTACAGACTGTGCGATCTGTTCTTTTGACAAATCCTTAAGCTGATCCCATACCGAGCGTCTTCTCCTAGACATCTTTTTCAACACGTTTAAAAAAGTGATTTGTTGTGTTGATTACGGAGACCATGCTTAGAGAGAAAAAAATGTATCCCTAGCAAGAAAGTTTATGAATTTTGTTCCAAAGAAACAATGCCACATAAATGATGGTAAATTTTTTTAAGAAGGAACTCCTTTCAATGCAGTGCTAGTTATAATTCAATGCTATTCATTGGAGAAAATGTTGGAGTCTATAGCGTTGAAGGATAAGCTTTTTCCATGGCCACACAAGGCTTATGAAAACAAGAAAACAAAGTCATCGTTTACCATGCTAAAGATTGTTGTCTCGAAGACCATGTTCGGCATTGGAATTTTATACAGTTTTATGTATCAGATTTATTGACGCTTTTGCCCCCATCTAAATTCTAGTTTAACTCCTGCCATGAAAAAAGTCAATGCAAAATTGTAACACCCCAACCTTATATCTTTCATTGGTCCATGGCCCAAAAAGAATGTGAACAAACACATAGAGATGGTGGTAGTAAATCATGAATTATAGCTAAACTTTAAAACATATAACATCAAATACAATGAAGAATAACTTGTTTAAATGGGCCTCTTTTTGAGATAAGAACACGTCAAGAAAAATGGCGTTTTTTGTAGGACGGAGTAATCAATATTCGATAATGCATGTTTCAAATGCATTGAAATTTGCACAAATCGGCATATTACAAATATGTCCACTCAACTAGTGATAAAATGGGTTTATTCAGTTTCATGGCAAAAATGTTTCTAAATCAGGGAGTGCAAGAGAATGTTCATTAACAAAATGATGGTTTTCGCTTGAGAATGGAATTCTTTGGTCATGTTATGTCAAAAAGAACCATGAACATAGTCCTAATATGCAAAACCTTAATTACTAATAACAAAAATCTTTCCGTCCCACTGTTTTTGTCGTTTTTTACCTTTTTTGTCTGTCCTACTATTTTTGTCTCATATCATATTTGGTCATATATGTGTGGTTCACATTCATTCTTACTTTACCTTACTTTTAAACATTAATATCAACCACGAAATCTTATTCTTCTTAAATTCCATACAACTTCCTCATGTTTCGGAAATAGTGGGACGAAGGGAGTACATTTTAAAATTGTGTTTTTGACATGACATAATTTTATTTAAAATGATATAGCCAATTGGTGGTCACAATATGAAGATTTAACACTAGAACTAAGGCTTGTGGAATGAGAGTATTGAGCCTAACATGCTCTTCATGTACTTGTAAGTGTAATTGGAGTACTTTTAATCAATTATTAACATGTTTATCAATGTTTGCTCTAACTTTGTCATGGCTATGGAATTGTTGAGACAAGATTAGAACATGGGTGAGGCTAAGGGATTGTCAAGGATATAAAAGAAACTGAATCGATGTAGGAAAGACAAAACTAAGATTACATTAAATTAATGAAGAAAATGAAATGGATGTTCATGGTTCAATTCCATTAAGGATAATGAAAAAGATGATATTTAACTTAAGAAGAGAATGAAAATGGAGGTCCCACACCTTTTAATCCTAATTTCAAACCAATAGATAATGATGACCTTTCTTTCATTTTTTTCACTTAATGTGTTTTGCTTACTCAATATTTGATACTATGACTTGTTTGAACTATTGCTTTTGAGAGCTTTATACTTTATAGTGTTGTATTTTTTGGATTTTGTATATGACCTTGGCATTTTAGTGTATATTTTATTATATTTTTAATACAAATGTGGGCAAGAGTACAGTAATGGAAAAAAAAAAAAGAAACAAAGAGCATTTTATGTGAATGACATAACATGATTCTCTTATTGGGTCACCCCAAGTTACTTGGGACTAAGACTTTGTTGTTGTTGTCATTGACGTTGTGTACCCATACTCAAAAAGTAAAAAAAATTATTTTCAGAAGATCTTGACCTACCATAAGAAGCATGAATCCGTATTTAGGGATACTAACTAAAAAAAAGAAAAAGACTACCTTGAGACAAACAATAAATCATTCTGTGAAGATTAATTCAATTAAAATAACTGAAATAGGAAACTAATAATAGTAATATTAATGATCAACTCATTACACCCTCCTAGACATCAACTCATTAATATTAATGATCAACTCATTACACCCTCCTAGACGTTGCACCGGCATTTTGGAGGATCAAATGGCATCAATTGCAACCGTTAGTATTACTCCAACCCATTTGACACTCTTAGTGGCCCAATGGACGAATTTCACGTAGGTGGATGTTGCTTGCTAGTTCAAAATAGATAATTACTAAACCATTATTTTGCGACTTGGCAGGTGTAAAATCAGCCAAAAAATCTATTTTGCAAAATAAATGCGGGCCAAAAGCTTTATTGGACAACAACCGTGTAGCCCCGACCAGTCTAATCTCTCCCTATTCCTCTATTCAAATAATTGTTTCCTCATTGCATGTGGTAGAGAAAATGGAGGAATAGGGAGAGATTAGACTGGTCGGGGCTGCACGGTTGTTGTCCAATAAAGCTTTTGGCTCTATATTCAACAACAAATCAAATAGCCTTGAAAAGATTGTTTGATCCATGGTGGTTGGGGTTGTGGTATGTTGTGATTGATATTCATGTTCCTTCATAAACCTTTTCTTCATGAAATTCCCCTTTCACAGCTATTGCATCTACCATCTAGAACAAAATAAAAATATACCAATGCTTGAAGTACAATCCCATCCAATTTCAGAATTTTAATTTGTTGAATTGATCACCTATAGAATACATAGTATAAATCTTACTCATGAATGAAACACAATATACCAGACAAAGATATGCAAAGCCTGAGACTCCATCTTTATTTCCTGCCCTTTTTGCTCTCTTTATCTACACTTTTTTTTTTGGAAAAAATAAAAGAAAAGAGACCAAAATAGTACTCCGTGCTCCGTATCTCTGTATCTAGATGCACTCAAGAATTTCTGATCTACAGTGACATTATGTCCCTATTTTTTCTTTTTCTCTATTTTTGTTAATATTTTAGGCAGAATTAAATAAACAAAACAAGGACAAGAACAGAGATGAAAAAACTAGGAAAGAAATCTGTTCTGATACTAAATTGTTATGATCGTTGCCAGTCTGTGGATGGGAAGGAGGGAGAGAAGTATGTGACCAGCAGCTTCTCATAATTAAAGCTTTTACTACAACCATTTGCAATTTTGTTAGTGATTGTGTGAGTATGAACAGCCAAACCCAACCAAAATAGTTGCGTGGAAACAGACACATCTCCTCCCTTGCTTGGGTGCTCCTGAACCACAAAGGGTCTGCTCCCACACCAATGCGCCCCGCTCAAATGCAAGGGAGGAATCCAAGCACTAGACAACACATGGGACGCAGAGCATACACAGTGTGCCAGAATCATATGCGGGAGGGATGTGCATGTGTCCCAAGGGGAATATTCCAACCACTATACGACAAGAATACGTCAACTAATGTCTTATACTCTTATACCGGTTGTAACTTGATAATTGTTGAGCTGCGTTTCTGCAGTGCGATTTCCAATTTTCTGCGTTACTTTATTCCATGTTTATGTTCAACTCCATGGTTGGCTTCTTGCAGACGGTTTGGCACCAACAAAGCAAGAGCTAAGTTTGGTAGTCTTTCTCTTAATGCTGAATTAAGGGGAGAATATAAGGATTTTGGTTTACTAAGATTCGTGGTGTTATAAGTGGATATGGTGTCCAGATCATATTCGAACCTTTTGTAAACGGATCGGATTCTAAGTCACTAATACTCACTTGTTCTCTCTCTCTCTCTCGCTCTACTTTCCCTCTACTTTATTTCCCTCATTGTAAACAGATTGGATTCTAAGTCACTAATACTCACCTGTGCCCTCTCTCTCTCTCTCTAGCTCTACTTTCCCTCTACTTTATTCACACTTTATTTACTCAACTCTCTGACCTCTAGGTCGGCTATTGTGGTGGTTTTAGGACCACCACCCCCTCCCCCAAAGCAACAGAGGTTCACCTACTATTTTGTCCACTAACTACACATCTGATATAGACTCGTAATGGTCTTTTATAGGTTCAATCTAGAGAATCTCTATGTGAGTGTAACACCTGCTTGAATTCACTTCTTCATGGGATCAGACAATGTTAAATACACCGATCAAGAATCTTCCCTATATGGAAATTGGGAAGTGCTTATAGAAATGGATATAAAAGATCTCGTATTAAGGCATTCGAAAACCATTTGGATCTCAATGCTTAACCACTCATTCATGCTAATCATGCAGCTTACTTGAAACAGGTCAGCACTGGGAGAGAAAGAGCAATAATGCGCACTCATACCTGTAGCTTAATTAGCAAGCAGTGAACAATGCGTACCTGTGGCTTTACTTCTATGGTATTTTGTCCACTCTTAACTGTAACAGGCTCATTAGCAAGAACACTCTCAAGGTGATCGAGTAGTTCTTTGGCTTGACAAGATCCAAAATCAGGGTCTGCATCCTCATAACACCAAACCATTGATGTTTCCTTGTACTCAATTGCTGATCCATCTGTAGTTTCAAGGTAGAGTTGCATTACTGGTTCCGCAATTTGTTTCCAGCCACACTCCATCACCGGCACAAAAGTTTCCCAGTCTTCTTCTCTGTTGACCCTGAAAGAAAAATTTAACCTAGTCTCAGTTAAAGCTTAAATTCATTCATAGCATGTAACAGTATAACAGATGAATGGGAGAAACATACCTAAAGAAATAGCCATGCTCAGCAGCAAGTCCAAGCTTTCGACAGGATGAAAACCACTGATCCATTTTCTCTCGGGTTTTAGAACTCACAATGAAAACCATATTGTTCTCGTCCCTACACAAAATGTTTAGAATCTCAAGGGTTTTAGCACTTGGCTTCTTGTCAATTGCATTGGGAGGCATTAAAGTGCCATCATAGTCTAAGAGGATTGCCCGGGTTGTTGTCCTCTTATACGCTGAAACTATGTAGTCCATTGCAAGCTTCCTGAAATTGGGATCGAGTGCAACAACCCGAAATTTCAAGCCAAACCCAATGCCCCAACACCTGCGCCTCGCATGATCCTTGCATGCTCTTTCCAAATCAGTCAAGAAGCTGCGAGCCCAATAGGCAACATCATGAGTGCTAACATACTTGTAGTGTTTATCGTGTCTAAGCTGTTTTTCAGGCTCAGACATCACTATAGCAGTGTCCATTGCATCTGCCACTGCATCAATGTTCCAAGGGTTAACTCTAATTGCTCCACTTAATGAAGGAGAACAGCCGATAAACTCAGACAAGACTAGCATGCTTTTCTTGGCAGCAGGCAGGTTAGGGTCTAACCCGAAAAACTTTTCCAGATTTTCATTTCCCTGACGGCTTATTACGTACTCATAAGGCATCAGATTCATTCCGTCCCTAACTGCAGTGACCAAACAACACTCTGCAACTACATAGTAAGCAACCCGTTCAAAGAACTTCAGTGGCTGGTCAATCAGGATAACAGGCTCATACCCAGGGTTGCCAAACCTTTCGTTAATCCGTTTAACTGCGGAGTAAGTCTCTTCTTGGACTTCCTTCACATCCTTCCCTTTACCCCTTGCAGGATTGGCTATCTGTACCAAAACCACTTTCCCCTGCTTCTCTGGATGCTGCAGAAGCAATTGTTCCATTGCAAGTATCTTCAAACTAATGCCTTTAAATATGTCCATGTCATCAACTCCCAGCAGCATTGTTCTCCCTTGACCATTGAACTGCGATATGAGTTCCGCAACTTTGGCCTCAGTCTCCGGGAGACTAAGGACTCGCTGAAGCTGCCCCATGTGTATGCCAACTGGAAGAATTTTTATACTCACAGTCCGACCGTAGTACTCAATGCCTATGTAGCCTCGCTTAGACTCATAGGGTAGGCCTAGCATCCGGCTGCAGCAGGAGAGGAAATGTCTGGCGTAGTCAAAAGTATGAAACCCAATCAAGTCTGAGTTCAAGAGAGCTCTTAAGATCTCCTCCCTGACAGGCAGCGTCTTGTAAATCTCTGATGACGGAAAAGGACTGTGCAGAAAGAACCCAAGCTTTACTCTATTGAACCTCTTCCTCAAGAAGGTTGGAAGCACCATGAGATGATAGTCATGAACCCACACAAAATCATCCTCCGGGTTGATAACTTCCATGATCCTATCCGCAAAAATCTTGTTCACAGAAACGTAAGCTTGCCAGAGAGCGCGGTTGAACCTGCCCCCTAGCTCAGGTGATAGGGGCAGCATATAGTGGAACACTGGCCACAGATGCTGCTTGCAAAACCCATGGTAGTGCCTAGTGAACATATCAGGAGGCAAGAAGGTGGGAACACACTTGAATGTCTCAAGCAGAATCTGTGAAACCTCATCTTGCTCACTTGGATGAATCTCCTCCTTTAGACAGCCCACGTATATAACGTCCATTTCATCATCACCCAGCCCTTCTTTCAGCTGGAGGAGAAGAGAGTTCTCGTCCCAGCTGAAAGTCCAACCCTTTCCATTGTCAGTCTTTCTCTGCACCCTTATTGGTAGCTGGTTGGCAACAATGATGATCCTATCCTTCTGTGCAGAAGATGAAGACCGATCAGAGCACACACTCTCTGATGCATCGTCTTCCAAATCAGACATGATGCCAGCCACAGTCATCACACGGGGAATCCGCCTGCTCAGCCGACCAAAGGAAGGAGACAGGGCCTCGCCGGAGGCCAGGTCCAAAAGGTTCGAATACGATCTGGACACCATATCCACTTATAACACCACGAATCTTAGTAAACCAAAATCCTTTGTTGGTGCCAAACCGTCTGCAAGAAACCAACCATAGAGTTGAACATAAACATGGAATAAAGTAACACAGAGAATTCGAAACCACACTGCAGAAACGCAGCTCAACAATTATCAAGTTTTCAGAAGCAAAACTGGGAAAAAGGACAACCCAAAAACCCAAAAAGAGCACTATAATTGCTTTCACTGACAAAACTGGAAAAAAAACAAGGACAACCGAAACCCCAAAAAAAGAACTATAATTGCTCTGAAAAAAATCAAGAATGCTTGAAGGGATTAACAATTCTTGACAATTTGGTGAAAACCCTTGAGTGGAAACAAAGAAAGTGAAGGAGAAAAGGAGAAGATGCCTTGTGTAGCTAAGAAACCAATTCCATTCCTCAATGAGCTTTGTGGCTCATAAGCTAAGAACTGCCCCTTTCAAGCTTTACTCCAAGACAGAGTGTTTTCTTTTTCAGGACAGCAACAAAATTAGTAATTATTAATTCATTCATCTAAGAAGCGGCTTTGCAAAGGCTAATTAATGAATGCTTGCCTCATTAGTTCTGGAAATAATTGCCTTCTCCTACAAAACGCACGTTTCTTTTCACTTCCTGTTGCGTCATTTCGATGCTACCATAGACTAAAACGCCCGTTTTTTTTTGACGGGGACTGAAATGTCCGTTAAACACTTGGGAACCCGGACACATGTTTTGGTCAAGACTTTATGTGGGCATATTCGAGAAGTCGACTAAAATAAAATAAATACTCGGTAAATTGCGAAGAAAATCGTAACGGCTTGAATAAAAAATACTCCCTCCGTCCCACTTTCTTTGTCCACTTACCTTTTAGCACACCATCCAATGCACTTCTTTAATCCATTTTATCTTGTAATTTGTATATTAAAAAATTATTAAAATTATATATTAATAATCTATATGTTAAGACGAATCAAACAAGATCACACATGACTATTTTTAGGCTTACACATTGAGAGAATTTGATGAGTCAATATGCTTAGATGAACAGTTCCAAAAGTCAAAACTGAACAAAGACAATGGGACGGAGGTATTAAAAAAGGGGGGGAAAAGGAGTACGAGATGCCATATGGATGGTGCCACAGATGCAAGCGATTACGTCTTATCCAAAACAAGAAGTTGAGTGGCCCCACATGACGTCCCTTGTTTTAGACTCAAGGTTTAGTAGAATGGTTAATTACCGAGTACAATTATAAATTAGTGAAATTTGTATTAAATAGGACTAAAACATAAGTTATTTTTTAATGTAGGACTTAAACTTTTTTATTCTCTAAATAAGACTAAATAATGTCTAGAGAGAAAAATAATGTCCAGTGATGCTGGACATTTACTTGAATAATGACTAATGAATAATGATCAATAGTCCTACATTGCGAAACAAAAACATATAGTCCTATGTTGAGAAAGTCATTATATTTTAGTCTTATTTAGATATATTCTTCTTATGATTACCCTAAATATTCTAGTTTGACTGTTTGAGTATAAATAGAATTATGACTTCTACGATTAATTAGATTAACATTATACTCCGTACATATTATAGAAATTTATATCAGAGCTATTATATTAGGTTTTGAATTATATTTTTTTAATGGGAGAAAAACCAAAGTAAGACTAAAAACTTGAAAATATATCAAAATAACACTTTTTCCCGAAATAGAATTTAAAATGCATTTACATTACCAAATATGGTCATGTATATTACCAATAAAGTATAGTAATATGCACATATACAGTGCCACATTACAATCACCTTACTACAGTGTGAAGTCCCATTCCGGAAAAAATTAAAATTTTATTTAGGTGATTTCTATTATCTAATATAATAAAAATTAGTTCTCGTCAAATTGTGTTGTGAGTTAAAACTCAATAATTGGTGTTAGAGCATGGTTGTTTAACACAAACACGAATTGCGAGAATCTTGTCACCAAGGTTTGCGTAGATATGGAGATCATTGACGTTGCAGAGCCCGAGTAAGACTAGAAGAAAAGGCTCTTGCTCTCAAGGAGATCTAAAGGAGAAAATAAAAATGGCAGCCTCTTGACCTGTTACACCGAAAAAAGAGGGGTTGCAACTTGCAAGCTTTAATTTGGTGGATTGTGGGTCGTGTTTGGTCAACACTTTTTCCTTCTATTGGTTTGGGCTTTGTTTGGTGGTTTGGGGACGCTGAAATTAGTGTGGTGGGCCTGTTTTTTTTTGGAAAAAAGGATTAGATTAAACAAGTAAGGTTTTATCAAACTTGCTCTAAACTCAAGTATTGGATCCCGTCACACCACTCATTGCGTACAGTCGGTGCAAGAGACAGAATCCGAGACACCACAATCGAAAGTTAAGGGAGTTGGACTTACATCTATCCCATGTTCCATGCTAAATGCTGCAAACTACACCGTATGGGGCATGAGAATGAAAGTCGTCTTAAGGGTTCATATGTGTTAGAAAGCATTTTCACATTGATGTTTTGTTAATGGCAATGCTTATTTCCGCTTAGGTTTTGATATTGACAAACCGTCGGGAACATGGGACAAAATGAAAAGATTCAAAGTCATAGCAAAAGCTCTTTGAATGAACAAAAAGCACAAGAAAGGCATTGACGTTTCTAAAGACGACATTGTCGTTTTGAAGACGTTGTCTAAAGACTTAGGTTTTTATTGTAACAAGCTCATTCAATTTCTCTACGTTATGGCTCAAAACAAATTATGTTTTTCATGCATCAAATGAGTTTTTTCATAAATTGTTTTGAAGTTTCCAAAACCACTGGTTCTTGACCAACTAAAACCATAATCATCGGTTATCGGCGTCCGGCTATGGCGTTCGGTTTTTGGCATAGGTTATTGGCATTGATTTTAGCCAAATGGTTTTTGGGTTTTTATCTTTGGTTTTTGCTTCTGGACACATTTAAAGGTTTTCCAAATTATTAGTTTTCAAAAACCATAACCTTTGTTTTCCGGCGTTGGTTATCGGCATTCGGCGCTGGTTATCAGCGTTGGTTTTTGGCGTCTGAATCAACCAAGTGATTTTTAACTTTTTATGATTGATTTTTACTTCTGGGCATATCCAAATAGTTCTCCAACAAAAACATGTTAAAAACCACCTTTCGTTTATGGTCTTTTGGCAAAAACCATATGAAACGGCATAAACTTGGCTAGCCGTGGTTTTTTTCCTTAATTGCGTAGTTTTTAAGTTTTTACACTTGGTTTATACATAAAATACATTATATAAGAGTTTAAGACATTTGGTTTTCATTTTGGAGAACTTTGGTTTTTGAAATCGGTTTTCGGCGTTGGCTGCCAAACCATGGTTCTTGCGAACCAGCCCAACAAGGATGTAGGCATTCCCAACAGCACTATTTTGCAATGGCAATAGGTTTCAAAATAGAGATGTTGGATTTTGAACATCTATGTTTTGGCCAGGTTGGCTCATGTCAGTTTTTGGCAGTAGATTTTTGAAAAGCGGTGTTCATTGGTGAACATCGATGTTTCAAAATGACCGTTAGGCTATTTAAGACAAAATCTTTCTACTTTTGAAAGTCAATCACCCCAACATCGATGTAGACTTCTAAATATCGATGTTTTGATGACCGTTAGCCATTTTTTAAGAAAAGTCAAAGCCAAAACAGCGATGTTCACTATATGAACATCGATGTTAGGCCAAAATCCTGTAGACCAACTTTGATTTAATTTCCACAAATCATGCCATTAAATCCCAATCAACTCCCATCCGTTGTACATCATTTTTGGGTATAAATAGGGGTCTTTTGGGTCTACTTTTCACAATCATTCCTCACGCATTTCATAGTCTTACATTGCATCATTCCATCAACTTTTTACATAGTTTTTTAGTGTCATTTCTTGAGAAATTGAGTGTGTGCTTGATCTAACTTAGTTTACTCATATTTTATTCTTTGAGAGAGTTTTTGTTCTTGAGTGGTTAAGTGTCGTAAGCACTTGAAGGGAGGTTTGTTCCCTTGGTTATACGAAGGAAGGGTATATTCCGTCGGGTTGAAGTCTTAGAGTGCGGTATCTCCGAAATGGAATAAATCAAAATGGATTTCTAAACTGTCTGCGCTTCTTTAATTAATGAAGTAGCAGTTAGTCAAGCAATGTAACTTTCGATGTTGAGCTAGGGGTCTCTTTGGAAACAACCTCTCTACTTTCGAGTAGGGGTAAGGTCTACGTACACACACCCTCCCCAGACCCTACTCTTGTGGGATTTAACTGGATTGTTGTTGTTGTATCTTAAACTAGAATTTATTTAATGGTTAACATTAAAATGATTAGCCTTAGACTAAGAATAGTATAAGGATATTGTTGAATGTTGACACTATGACTATTGGAAATGGAAAATGAATATAAATGTTGAATGTTGAACAATGAATGATGAGTATTGAATATTGACTATTGAATGTCTGAATTGAACATTATGTGCATGATATCAAATGATTTGATTGTGAATTAAGATTCAATTTATATGGATGTTCGATGCATTATATATGCTTACTCAGCTTCAACGCTGAGCATGTAGTATGTTTTATTTGCTGCACGCAGGTTAATAGAATGATGTGACGTGATCCTAGAGACAGATGGAGGCGAGATTGTCGGAAGGGATGTGATGGTTTTGAATTGAAATACATAAATAAATTATGTTTGTGATTATGATTTGTTAAGCTTCCGCGATATTGAGAACTTCGTACTCTTTATGTTATGAAAAATATTATTGTGATAAATAAAAGTGTTTGAAATGTTTTAAATTTTTACGATTTCCATGTTAATACTTTTGTCCGAAAAAGGCTGCAGACCTGGACGGATTAGGGTGTTACAGAGATGGTCAAGATCATGGGATAAAACAAACAGGTCAAAAAAGAACCAATGATCATCAAAAGGGAAGAAAGGAAAGATTAAAGGTTTAGTGTTATTAATTAATATGATAAATTCGGTCACTTTGCGTCAGTGTGCTCGGAGCATATGAAGAAATAGGATGAAGCTAATTTAGCTGAAATTGGTGTTTTGGATCCATCGTAGTTTATGATAAAATGTGATAAAGAGAATGTCTTTTTAAATGAAGAAGGGGTGATTCCGAAGTGTTTCGAGATTGAACCAAAGGAGAAATATATTTCGTATGTTGACAGCGGAACATCGAATCACATGACATGTAATCAAACTTACTTCCTTAGACTTAATGAACGTATCACGTGAAATGTGAAGTTTGGAGATGGATCTTGTACTGACATATGATCAAAGGGATTGGTATTACTTGAAGGGAATACGAGGGAGAAACGCTTGTTGACTGATGTTTACTACATACTGAGCCTGCAAAGCAACACCATAAGTCTTGGTCAAGCAACAAAAGCTTCTAACTATTCTAACCACTCATGATGACACACTAGTTATCATTATTGGAATGAAAAATTTTGCGGGTACAGATCTACAAAGAGTTGATC